ATGTGCAGCATCTTGCACTTGGCCTGGCTTAACTCCATGTGGTTAGCACAGGCCCACCTGGAGAGGCTGGAGAGCCTGTCTAGGTCCCTCTGGATGACATCCCTTCCTTCCAGCATGTCGACCGCAGCACACAGCTCGGTGTCATGAAGTTCATGATAAAATGAGCTGGGTAAAATTTTCATTTTCACAGTTATATTTTTTAGTCACACATCAATCATACTATCTTATGGTTCTTGTTTTGGTCAATATCTTAGATAACATATATCTTAGATGACATATATCTTAGAGCTCTTATAAGACACCTTATGTAAGATTTATATATAGGCTTAGTATGACTCAGTAACCCAACAACAGTATTTGCATTTTTCCTATGAACATTTCTCGACAGCAAAGCAGTTGCCCAAATATTTGAGAGAAAAATCTTGTTGTTTTTCCCATCTGTTTGTTCTAAATACTTACCACTTTGTTCTCTATAAGGTCACATACTATTTTGTTGTTGAAGTATTCTATTGGTGTCCATCTAATTCCTTCTTGCACATATTCTTCCTGTTAAGTAAAAAGAAACATGCGGATAGCGGATATCCCTTCCCACCGGGCATGCAGCACTAGGGTTACAATGCACTACACATACACAAATCCTGCATGTTAAGTAGAAAGAAACGTGGATAGCGGATATCCCTTCCCACCGGGAATGCAGCACTAGGTTTACAATGCACTACACATACACAAATCCTGCACTACTTCAGAAAGACTTGTCAAAAGTGTGACTGGGGGGAGGTGGGAGAAACGACCCTAATTGGTAGTTAAATCCAGCTCTCTACCGCCTAAGAGATCCTTCTCTGTTCTCCCCACACAGTCTTTTGTCATTCATAGCCCTTGAAGAGCAGGAATACTTCATCAGTGCATTTATTGCCAGAGGCTTCCAAAATAGTAACAAAGTGACTTTTACAGTATCCTGACAGTGCACCTAAGCATCCATTCCTCATCTATTTTAAAAATTAGAATTGTGACAGGCATATCAAGGATCACACCCCCAAAACAACACATTTAGAAATGCACATGAAACGGAGACATAGCTCTACTTTTTATTTCTGTACGTGGTTACTGTTACCATAAAGACATCTAGAAAGGGATTGGGGAAAAATTTCACACTAACATCTGATTCAATTGACCCACCCAGTTGCCTGCATTCGCCTTCAGCTAGACACTTAGCAGGTCATTTGTGTGCTCAACCGCAATGATGGGTTACTTTTATACAAGGGCAATTGTGTATGTGCATTCTTGAAAACATTGGCCTAAAGCCGGTGCCAGGCCTGAGCTCACCCTGCACACAATGCCTCTGCCTCAGCTGCATTCTGCCCGCCCGCCCAGGCACCAGCTCACATTCATGCCAAGTGAGATTTCCCAGTGAGACTGAGCAGAGAACGTCCAATACTTTCAGAAGTATTGTTGCATTTGTCTGTGTAATTCATTTTTTATATCTGTATAAGACACAATAAAAAAGGGTGTGGAGGAGATTAAGGAAAGCATTCCCATTTAACAGTGTGTCATGTCCAAGGAAAGCACAGGGGTGGAACCAGGCTGCAGTTTTCCATTTCTGCCAGTGAGTCAGAATATGCAGCAAGTCTGGGCAGTCATATGACTGCATCAGTACAGCGTATGACCCACTCGCTTCGCTACCACTATACTAGAGAATAAACGCCTGTAGCTGATGTGGTTTTAGGGATAGCCAATGACAAAGGCTTTTAGGGGTTTTTGTCCTGCTTAACAAGGCAAACTTTACTGTTAGCAGATGAAACCTCAGTCTTCCCACTAACTGAAAAAGCAATAGCTCGTTTATGAATTCAAAACCAATACATGTCTGGTTACCTGTTCTGCCTTCAGTGTCAGTTCAATAAAAATCTGCTGCAGTTTCTCATTAACGAAGTTGATGCAGAACTGTTCAAACCCATTTTTCTATAGAAAGGAAAACAATTTAAAAATTAGTCTCATGCTCAATATACAATAATTCTAAGGCTTTATGCTGGCAATAAGCTTCAAAGAAACACTGTCAATGATGGATGAGTTGATGACTTTATAGACATTCTGTGTAATCTCAGATCTTTCTTTTAAGATCAATGACCTAGTTTCTTTGAAGTTTCTTCAGTACTTTGTGGTTATTAAGTGAGACATTACTAGTGAGAACTCAATGTCCAGGAAGCTGGGTTGGGATTTTTTTTGCTTTTATTCTGGCCACAGGATTTGTGGGTTTTTTTCTGGTTTGGATTTTTTCCCCTCTAAATAAAAACCCTCCCAGGTCAGCTCAGCTCACACACTGAGTATTGCATTGCCTTACCTGGAATATTTCAAAGCCATAAATATCAAGGACACCAATGTTATATTCTTCGTGGTCCTTCTCCATAGCCTTATTAATAGACTAATAAAACAGAAACAAAATGTAAAACAAAATGTCATTTAGATCTTTATAAGATAGATCACTATCCTTAAATCTTTATATAAAAATACTGGGTTTCTTCAAAAAGAACATATTTGAATGTACTACAAATATATGTGGTAGGGTATTTAACTTCCACTTTTTAATAAAGTGTTACTAACAGCTCGGAAATTAAGAGTATGATATCCTGTTTGCCGGGTTAGTGAGCTTTTGGATCTCTTCTTTGTAAAAAATCTTTCCCCTTCAGTGTAACTGGCTCAGTTAAAAAAATGAGACAACTGCAAAAGAACAGCTTTGAGTCTGATATCTGATGCATTTTGCAGATGGTACCATGAATCTTTCACCTATTTCTGTATTCCCTTACTTTGCAGTGTCAGTGCTGGTACAAGCTCACAGTGGGAATTAGAGTTGTCATGATGAGGGGGACTTCTGAGACACCAGCAGTGCCACCACGGAGGAGACTTCTGCTTCACCTGTGGCAAAGGTAAGGTTTTCTACCCCACCAATCCAGCCCAGGGTCTCATTCTGAACAAGAGAGTACTTCAGCATGGGGAATGGCATCGCATCATTTGCTCAAATTCCACAACATGGAGATGCTGAAGGGGCTCTGAGTGGAGTAAGAGAGCAGGGGACCACAACCCACTAATTCTGCTCATCTGAAAATGCTCAACTACATAAGAGAAGGGAAGACTCTGAGAACCATGCATGCTGACAGGAATGAGATACCAGAATATAATATAGGACAGCTGTGGCAGGAGACTGAGCAAACCTAGCACTGAAACCACAGCTCATATACTCCAAGAAAAGTGTCGCATTCGTCATATAATGACTGCCTTGTCTTTGACACCTGCAGTCATGCTCGCACCCCGCTGTTCAGTGCTGCTGCTAAGCTTTAGGCAAAGAAACACACTGGGTGAAAGACAAGCACTGCAAGGGACACTCCTAGTGTACTTGTACTTGTTTTGATACTTCAGCAGAATCAAGCAAGTCCAACTTACATCCACCAAGTAATCAAACACACGGGAATGAAGGGCCTTGGCCAGTGCATCCCTGGTGTAGCAGGCTTGTTCCACATTTAGTGTTACATTAATGGACTCTGATTTGCCTCCCCACTTGCTGTCCATCTGTCTGCTGGTTAGTTTTTCCTTTAGGCGGTCCTGGTTAATTCCAAGGAGAAAAGCAGGGAAAGCCAAAACTGCAAGAAAGATCAGGGTTGCTGGATTATGATTTACAGACTAAACCCATGGAGAAGGAAAGAAAAAAAATATTAGCTGTATCTCTAATAACAATCAGCAGTAATAAACCTCACGGAGCATGCAGATTAAAAGAGGAGGGATTTATGTCTTTAAAATTTCCCAAAGCTCCCCAAGGACATTTGCAACTCTTTACTTATATGGATTTCAATTAAGATAAACCACCTTGAAGTAAAATAATGAGCTATTTCTGTACCTTCAGTTCTTCAAACATGTAAGCTGTCTTAGGTCATAGTTTTGAACTATGTGGTTCACACAAATCACACTTGGAGGAGACAGAAATAAATTAAATACACATTAAATAAAACTGACACCACTGAAAATTCTTTGTAGAAATATGACATGTTTAAAATCTATTAAAGAATATGCTATCTGCTTCCTAACATTCTTTCCTTTTCTTCTTCTAATTTAGGATATTGCAAAAAGTTTCCAATTACCTTGCCACCTATTTGGTTTTGGTTTTTTAATCCCTTACTCTGGAAGTACTTTGCGAATCCTAGGTTCCCTTGTTTAAAAGTAAAGCAGAAAAATACATCTGTGCAACAAGTAGCCACAAGTCTAGAATGCTTTGCATTCTCAGCACACGGTGCAGATGTTAGCTGCAGGTGTCATGCACCTTAAGGAATGGAAAGAGAGACACGGCTTGAAAGCATATGGAAACAGCTCCCAAGGGCGGCTCTTGTTGCTGCTTTTGCACCACTGCTAAATCACATAATCCTCTAACAGTGTATCCCCCATGTTCCTTTGCTTTCAGACCTACTTTACTGGTGTGAGGAGGATGTAAAATAATCACTCACTGAGGCAGCAGCCACTCGTGCTTTACAGATCCGTAATATCACAGCATGATTTTGCTAAACCCTTCAGTACATTAATCCAAAACTATTTTTAAAACTGCATATATATAACCACCAGCTTTCTGAAATCTGATTTATTACCACCAGCAAGCCAATTCAATTTACCCTAGAGTACTAGGAACCACACGGCTAACCAAAGTTGAGTCATGGCAACATCTCCGGTAACTCACAAGAACTGAGGTTGAAGAGCACATGAAAAGTCAAACATCATGTGCTTTAAAATGGAAAAGAACGTAGGTAATTGTCGACCAAATACACTCACACATACTGTAAAGATGCCAGAATAAGTATTTAACTAGTACTAGTGTAAGAATTTATGAAGCTAGTATAATGGTAAGAACCACCATGCACACCTCTAACTCTTCCTTCACAGTGCTAATGATTTACTGTAAAGGAAGAACAGCTAGACATGACTTGATAACTCCACATTCTTAAGATGCCTGATGGTTTTCCCTAGTTAGGGACCGTAGAGTTACCATATAGAAATTACTATAAAGCAGGATATGCATGTAATTGAAAAAATGACCCTCAGAGCAATATCATTCTGTGGAATAGCTTTAAATACAATCTGTGAAGAAACACTGAAAAACACTAGCTTCACTTCATCATTTTTGAGTAAGTATACAACAAATCTTTCAATACAATGCAAGCGCACAGAGGGATGGTTTGTGTTCTGCATCTAGAGGGAACAAACAGTATTTGGCATGATTTGCAACACAGAAGATTGCTGTGGTTCAACCCTAAGGAATTCAAACACCACCACTCTGAATGTCCCCCTCTTCCTCCTCCTTCCCCCAGAATTATATGCTGGGCATGACGCCATATGGTCTGGAATATCCCTTTGGTCAGCTGTCCCAGCTGTGTCCCGTCCCGACTCCTTGTGCACCCCAGCCCACTCACTGGTGGGGTGCAGGGAGGTGAGAGGTAGCAAAGGCCTTGACTCTGTGTCAGCACTGCTCAGCAGCAATGAAAACATCCCTGTGTTAGTAACACTCCTGTCAGCACAAATCCCAGCCACAGCCCCAGACCAGCTACTACGGAGAAAATTACCTCTATCCCAGCCAAGGCCAGCACAGAGATTTAGAATAAATAATCAGAGTATTTTTCTCACCTATTCATATAATCAAGCACTGCAACAGTGCTCGTTGGCAGTTTTGAAGAAGTGTTTGTCTAAATGTCAAGAGCGGTCTGTATAGATTCCATTCTGACTCAGAGACTAGAGTATTTGGTGTCTTGAAGAATGGCCTTTGCATGTTTTTCTGAAACTGGCTACATACTAACAAGAACACTATTGACCAAATTCTTAAACTTTTTATTATTTCAGACTTAGGCAAAGCATGACTTCACCAGTGGTCTTTCATTGTGGTTTATCTTCCATGGCTACCCAGATATGAACGCTTTACTATTTAGTTGGGTAGGACAAACAGTAAACTGGGAGGAGGATTAATGGAATGGGAAATCAACCCAACTTTCAACTTCGTAATGTAGAAATTGTACCAGACATTGCTATTTCTTCTCTGGCTTCTTTAAAATGCAGTATGTTTCTGCCTAAGTTCTATGTTCATTCTATCTGCTATTTTTTTCAATGTATTATTCATACACAACTTGTGTATTTATATCCCAGTGAGCAAGAGAAATATGGTGTTACATGGCTCATCAGAGAAACACTCAAATTTACCAACTTATTCTCAACCTGTGTTTTTTCAGTTTGTTACTTTTTGATGCAACACCTATATCTCTCATCTGGCTATTAGATGTCTATTTTTTCATACTCAAAGGCTAGAAAAGGATTTCTTAAATTCAAAATGCAAAACCGTACTCCTACTAAGTCAGTGGCTCTGTAGAAGACAAAACAGGAGCCTCAATACTGCTAGTTTTGGAAGAAAATCTAAATTAGCAGCCCCACACAATAAGAAATGCCCTGGTTCAAACAAACAGCTCAAGATTGCAGTTCAGCCTATGCCATCTGGGTTTCAGACCATCGTTAATTCTGTAACAGCTTCCAGAGGTACTCACACTCCTCGCTCTCCACTCCCGCGTAGTTGCCAACTTCTTTGAAGCTGATATTTCCCAAATGCAGTATTCCTGCCACTATCTGCAGCACCAACGCCTGTTCCTCTGCAAAGATCCCAATCACACTCATTGCATGCTGGGAAGAAAAAGAAAAAAACAATTTGAACCAGTCAAAGAATCTGTTTCATGCTTCTTGTCATAGAGGTCCTCTTAAAAGATTTAGTTTTTCAAATTAGCTCAAAAACCTAATGCAACCAAATTTCATTACAGCCTGTACTGGAGTTTCAAAAGATACCAGATGTCCTACTTCAGCATTTTTGTATTTTGTTAATTAAATACCAAAGCATCTACACCATTTAGAAGACGTGTTAGCAAAATAAATGCCAGGAAAATAAAAGTCACTAAAACCCAAGCACCTGCTCTTGAGTGTCACACCGAAAATAAATAGTTTCACTGCAAAATGCAAAATAATGAACTCAGGAGATTATGACTTTATTCCTTCTGCACAGTCTTAGCCACTGAGACTGAGAACTGCGAAGCTGTCCTTCATGACTCTATAGAGCAGTGCAGTCTGTCTGGCCTAGGCTGTGAATTTCCGTCACCTACTAGGAAATAATCCACACCAACCCTGGGGTTTGGAGTCTAGAGTACAGGGTAACTTACAGAATGTCTTCTCGACTTCTAGAACACCCTATTAGCTAGACTACAACAGCAACCATTTTTTTAGGCCTTTACATGTGTAAATAAGATGATGTGTTAATATGCTTATTTTAACTAGTAAATTTCTAATAACAGGAGACCAGCCAGTTGATACGACCAGCATAAGGGTCACACAACAAATTGGCAACAGCACTGGATAAAGATCCCTGAGTTCCTTTCTCCAGCCTCTCAGTTGCACTGCTTTTAGTAGTCATGCAACATCAGTCACCACTAAGAATTCAGCTAAAACTCAGCACCCTCTTATATCTTCTTCTAATGGAATTTCCTCATTGTGTTTGCATTTTCACTTTTTTCATACTGCAGATTATCTGCACTCAGTTCAACTTCATTAAATTCACACCCTTCTGAAAAAGAACAACAAAAACCAAAATGCCTTTCTATAAAAACTATCTTCTCAGAATTGTTAAGCTGCAACACAGGACCTCTTCAGGGTAACATAATTCTTCCTCAGGGTAAAATATGATTAAAGTTCCATCTACATTAACTTCTCATTCCCACACTAATCTATGTTAATTTCTCATTCCCACACTAATACATCGATGTCTTTGCTACAAATGGACAGTGAAATGAATACACATCCACCACTATGCAAATCAGAGTAAAAGAACTCACCAGTGTTTCTTGGAAATCCGATTTGTCATTGATGTCATCGACTTTGTAGGACCCAGAGAGACTCAGATAGTAATAGTAGTCCATACTGGTAATGCCAAGGCTGCTCTTTTGTTCCGAGGACGCCCCCTCAATTAGCTGCAGAACAGAAGCGCCCAGATCAGGTATTGTACAATGATCTTCAGCAGAGACGAGCCAGGTAGAAACAGGTGGCTGAGCCTGTAATTTCTGGGAGAGAGATGGCTAGTGCTGTGCCAGGCATGCATCCTTCCCATGTTTGGTTAACTGTTTAGCCCAGAAGACCAGATTCTCATCCCCATTCCCATAAATGGTTTAGTTCTAACTTCCACATCTAAAAAAAAGGCAAAAACTGTGCCTGTCTTGAATGCCTTCCATCATCTTTACCCCATAAACATGAGTCAAAACAGGTTTTCCAATCTGCAGTGTATTAACTAAATCCTCAGGAGCAATGTGTGTTCCATTTCTACTGAGAAGTAGGCAGGATTGAAGGAACATAGTAAGAAAGCATTTTGTGAATCATTGTGAGGCCAGGTATCCTTTATGCCATTATGGCATATGCTAAGCCAGTTCTGAACTGCTCTGGTATTACGCTGATTTACAGCATGTCCCAAGTCACACCCCTCTGTTGGTTAGGCCAGCAGGGCCAAGAAAAAACAGCAGGGTAGTTGAACGTTCCTGTTCTCTCTCTGATGGCAGAGGAGAGGCTCCTCAGATCCATGTGAAGTCCAGGCAGTCATGCACAGATATGGCTGCAACAGGAAGGAATGAACAACCTAACCTCAGAAGAGAATAGTCAAACCCCACAGTCTTAACTCCTGTGTCAAAAGGCCTGCCCAAGCCACAGAGGAAAGTCAGCAGGACAGTGCAAATTGTTCACATACCTCGGCAGAGCAGAACGCACAGCTCCTGGAGCAATCCCAGCTCCAACTCAGCATTCCACCCTGGCAATGGCACTTGATGTGAAGCTGCTTACAGTCACTTACAAGGCACTGTCTTTACTCTAGTTTTGTACAGCTTGATTAACAGCACTTCAGCAGTTAAGGAACTCAAATCGAGGACTAGTGAAGGCCAGAAAAGCCTTTTGGACAATAAAAAGCAGGGATGCTTGAAGGATTCAGCAAATCGATATTATCCCAAATGTCCTAGAAACTCAACTGAGAACCAAATCTCCCTTTCACAGCTGTGCTACGGAATTCCAGAGCAGAAGGTATAAATATATATAGGCCAGTTTAAAAAGAAATCTGCTAGAAAGTTCTCATTTTCTACTATATTCTACTGGATTTTTCCATGTGGGAGTTCACAGTGAATTTTCAAGCAAGTCCTTTGAAATACTGAAGTACCTTTGCTCTGGAGCTGAAAGGCAGCTAGGTGGGTCTACGTCTTAACATGCTATCCAGTTTCCCAGTGATCCCCAGCTTACCACCTCGAGTATGCGTTCAGCAATCTCACTGTGCTGAGAATGCCTTGGCAATCAAAAGGAAACACTGGTCCGAATTATTTTAAATGACTTGGAAAGGACCTATACACTTCTGACCTGGTAAAAAATGTGAAAGCTCCTCTCTCCAGGATTCCTCATTACAACTCGAGATTTTTCCAGTAGGAAGTTGGAGATTTTCCCTCCATCCGGTTCTCCACCTGGGCTAAACTGGATTTCAAAGTATTTCCCCTGCGATAAATAAATTAAAGCTGTTGAATGGTTAGTAGATACACATGTGAAATCATGCACGTGTGCCACATCACGAGGAAGGTTACTAGGATATTTAATCTTCATAATGCAGTGACACAGCCTTAAGGTACAACCTAAGCTTAGATTCCTGGACTACCCTGTATTTTTCTTTCTGCATTGACACAGCGCTAGAACTGGGATAATACATCACGTGTTACTGCAACTGTAGAGGAAGTCAGTGGCCTCTTTTCCTTAGCATAAGGGAAAACACAAGGCTCACCTATACGGGAAGTAAATTTAGCAGATTTATGACCAAAGGCAAACATAGCCTTCTGCTTGGAAGCAAGGTGAAGCAATCATCTTTTTCTTTCAGGACGACATTAATTGCATTAACACTCATGTTGGCTGGGGAACAAATCTCAAATTTTTAAGGCCTATGTGTAACTTTTAAAAACGGAACCTGCAGCACGTTACCTAGTGAACAGTTATCTCGTAGCATCATCTCGGGTGGTCTACAATGACAGACTGCAAAGAATTCCTGCCTGCTTTCTGTACGTATCAGTAAAGGCATTCCCCACCAAACAACTCTAAGGATGGTTTCATCATACTTTTAAAAAGCTATCCTTTTTTTTTCTTAAAAATATACCACTAGAGATATTTTTCTGAGCTGGAAAACTGGCCAGTTTGTTGCTGGTAAGTCATTTTCTTGCAGACTGAATGTTTTAAAAATAAACTGTGACCAGTACATATTGTAAGAGAACCAAACACACAACCTATACAGAATAAGGGAGAGGCCTCACAATACATACTTCATGTTTTAGAAGTTTCTACTTTATTTAGATTTACGTCGCTTCTAGGCAATTCACATTATACTCCTGAATACCGTCTCTGTAACAGCACAGAAGCTGGAAGAATAAAGTAATCTCAAAGGTATAGGGACTTACAAATCTGCTGGAGTTGTTGTTCCGTACAGTTTTTGCATTCCCAAAGGCTTCCAGTAAAGGGTTGGACTGTAGAATAATATCTTTAACATGCTAAAATTTTAGGAAACAAGAGAAATAGATTCAGAAATAGCCATTTTTAAAGTTCTTACAGATTTTCTAGAAAACTGTGACATCTAAATTATATACTAAAAAAGCAAGAAAGCCTGCATCTGCAAGAAATCCTCTTTTTTTTCCCCCAGAGCTTCTAGATCCTAGTTTTCGAAGAAAATCTTTCAAAATTGAACAAAATGCCTAGGCTAAAAACCGGTCTTTCTGTTCACTGTTCTGTCAAGAAACACAGCCAATAATTTAGTCTGGGTTCCCCCCCCATCATCTCGATTTTAAACAATTCCCTTCTTACACATAAGCACTTAAATCTTCTGGGGGTCTGGAACCACAACCAATGAAGTCAGAGCAGCATGGAATTTAGGAATCTGCAAATACTTCAGCAACCTGCTTCAGGAGCAGTGATGCTGCTATCTAGCTGTAAAGCAATGAATTCTGCTACTGCTGCCTCTACCTGACCCTTGGAGCTGGAAGTATGGACAAGGTATTAGCTTTGGAACAAGCCCAACACATGCTGAGTTGTGAAGAGAAGATTGAATTGTATTGCAAAAGAAATGCTCAACCAACTTCACTACTGGTACTCTGCAATCACGCAAAATATTTTTTGATTTTCTACAAAGAGCTGGAATCTTTTAAATAAAATATTTACTCAAAATATGTTTATTCCAAAAATAGCACATTGCATACTTTCTCTGGATCATTTCTCTTGGTTACAGAATTATTCTCTGCAATGTTCCCAGTATGACTGCTGTGCAAAACTAACCGGAAAGAACAGACTCAACATCAGAGACTGCGATACAGCAAAGAAACGCAACAGTAAGCACTCGGAAAGGTAAAAGCAGCTAATACCTGCCTACTGCTGCCTGTCAGCCAAGGAATGACACTGTAATGCCATTAAAGGAATTTTTACAGCTAATTCATTCAATGAGCTCTAGTTAATAGTTTTCAATAGATAGACTGATGGTATAGTTATTAACAACAGCAACTATTTGTTCTTTCAGCTACTCTCACTTTGACAGATCACCTCAGAAAACGAGGTGATGCTCCTGCTGTTGGCTCCCTGAGGTATGCATACAAATCAGACATTTAATGGAAGCAGTAAGAGCCCCAAAAGCTAGTTTGGTTTTCAGTAGAATGCCAACACAGGAGGAAAAACCCCACACACCTCCTAAAAGGAGACTGGTTGTTAATGAAAAGAACCTTTTATCCCTTAACTAAAAGAACAACAATGCTTGTAGACATAATTCAGCACGAGGGCTATAAAACTTGTAGCAGAGATTATTCAGTGCCTGTGAATTTTCCTCATACAGCTCCCATCACACTGGCAGCCCAGCAAGCTGCCAGCACGCAGCTCACTGCCCAGTTGTCTCTGCTGCTGAGGGCTTGCACTAATTTCTAGCTGCTCACCCACCAGCTTCTTCGGCAGAGTGCCTCTTGGCTGCCAGGGTCTGCCAAGAGGGACCGCTGTCATTCTACCTCTGAAATAACTCTTTAGACTACGCTTTTGCTTTAGTATTACTCTATATCAACTCACCTGTACTTTAGGGCCACCTCCTGAAATTTTGGAGATGTAACTCATGATATATTTAGCAGCTACAGTCTTTCCAGCACCGCTTTCCCCACTAGGGAAAAAAAAGACCACAAAAACGTACCTGTTAGTTTTTAAATAACTCTAGACTGGAGTAACTGAAGGTTTATCCATTTCAAGCAGGAGAAGGTACCTTAACAATAAATAATAATAAACACACACCGTATTTGCACTGGGTACATTGGCTGGGATACAATATTGTAGCATGGTTACTTGGATGTATTTGTGAAGAAATAACTTTGAATATATCACCTTGCATGGACACCAGAATCTCTATGGGACTTCAAAGTCAGAAAACCATGTAAATGTAGAAATCAATATGCTCAAACCAGGATGATCAAAAAAGTGTGGTAAGAACTCAATTCCCATCTAAATTTAGTGGGATTTCAGATCTTAGCACACAAACTCATTTGAAAATCCAAGCTTTGAATGCCAGATACCGACTTCAGGCGTCTTTGTTTCTGGTGTTCCTGAACGAAATAATGAGACATTATTAATCACATCCTGAATGACGGAAGAACTACCTTCCTGTTCCTATGCCTCTTGACACAGGGTACAAGAAGTCTTAATATTCCATACTAGCTTTCACAATTCCTTCCTTCCGTTAGAGTATTTCACTTTAGTGGCGTAGAATGTTTACAACAGCGACCGGTAGATTTGCCTTCTCGCGATGAGTAAGAGGGAAAGAAGATCGGGGTGCCAGGCCATCCAACCTCACACTTTGTTTCATACCTTCAGGCGACCTTCGTTTCAACAGAATTCCTCCAGACTTACGTAAGTCTTGGTGAAAGTCAGCTTTGACCTTAAGGAATTCACCTTGACCTGGCCAACTATACTAACACAAAACAACAACACAGAGACACTGGTTCAATGTCATAAAGATATCTGAATGGTTTTTTTTTCCTGTGTGAAAATCTGTGCTATCTTTAAACTCCTGAGTAATTTCAGTGAATGTTGTTGACTCTTCTATCCTGCGCCTACTTGTTCTTGGATATGGATCAAATGCACATCTTCTCCTACACAAATTTGAGCTGTGTTTGCCAGAGAAACATCAGCTTGTCCTGCACAGGGAAAGGACTTGCAGAGAATGTCAACTCATAGCTCCTTATCTGCATGAGTAATGAAGACATTTCCAAAGGTTTCATTCTGAAAAAGCTCCCCAAGCTGCCAAATATCATTTTACATCTTTAAAGCTTCCAAACCGAAAAGCTTCCCCCCACCCCCAGAAATGTTTTCAATGCTTTTGTCTTCTCCTGACTGCAGTTTTACAGGTCAAACAGGAAACTTGAAAAGGTGAAAAATACTTCTTCATCATCTCGTCTCTGTGGACCTCGATTTTTATTATTCAGTCATCTTTTCCTAAGCATCAAGAAGAAAGCCTGTATTTTTGGTATTTACTACGTTCCCATGGACAGACTGCTGGATGGCAAACTGTATTTGGAAGTTCAAATCAGCAAACAGAAGGTCAAATCCACTAAAATAACATTTCTTCAAAATTTGCTCGCAGTAAATTTGCTCATCCTGTGGCAATATAAGACAGACAAACCAATCTAAGCCGAATCACACTCGAGTTTATATATGCAGGTTTCAACTGAATACAGAGGAGGATCCACGGCAAAACACTGACTTAATCTGATCAGGTATGATTTATCAGGCAGTAGAAATGTAACACATTTCTGTAAGATTTTCTGTCGTGCAGAAATTATCCTTCTCCTCTATGTTCAAATTAAGTGTGGCTCGTATTTCTCATTCCATAGTGCCTGCCATGGAAATGGACCTGGAGGAATATAGTTCCATTTTACTGTTTCGATAGAAGTGGTTCTTTATATTACATCAATGTGGCCAAAAGACTGCCTTCTGAGCTTGCTTTAGATTTCTGCATGGGTAAGCTTTTCTCAGTTTTATGCTTTTATTGATCAGAGGCCAGTAAATTGTTCCAATTGAACTAGAATAAAAGAGGGTGATGCATTATTAATGAACTGAAGTAACTTTATCTGGTGGGAGGGTATCTTGCCCCCAGTAAAACCCAGGTGGTCAGCTGCAACTGGGGAAGTCTGGAATTCCTGCCAAATGATTCTCATACAGAAGCTTTTTTACATGTCTCTTACTGCTGTGCTGCTATTAAAACTATTTTAAGATGATGCAAGAATCATTTCCTAGCTTGGCAGTTTCACGTATGCTGGAAGTACAGAGGTTTTTAAAGGTTGAAAAAATGACTATAATGGTTTGAAGTAAGTGGGCTGTGGTGCCGACAATTTTCTCAGAGACTTTCCTGACTAAAAATAAAAACATTACACAGTCTCAATCACTAACACAAAAAGGTAACGCTTTGAAAGACATACTGCTTCTTCTAGCGCTATTCACTACTTCAGGCAAGTGACATTTTCTTCAGCAAAGTCAATTAACACTCAGCTGAAAGGAGAACAATGCAGAGGGAAAAGTATTTGCTCATTCCTTCCCAAAAGAAGTATAAGTGGTGATTAGAGCAGGGAAGCAAGTTTCAATACATATCCTCACCCTTCTCTCTAAAATTAGTTTTCTGCCTGACGTTTCATATAGTATCCCTGGCTGTAGGACAATGCAAGTCATACCTCTCGGCATCACCGGGACAACACAGAAATCGTAGGAACAAATATTTCTAAGGACTCCTGGATCTGCCAGTGAAGAATACTGCACATGCAAAACACTCAATGTGTTTGGATAAACCTCTTGGTTTGTTTCCATTAAAAATTCACTTTCTCTAACTACATTCAGAGAAACCTCAGCAGCATCAATTCAGTGAAATGTTTTCCCTTCTGAATCAGAGCTTTTACCTAACTTTTCTTACTGTGTTAGACTTGTGTTTCTAACCACTTCCTCATTACAGTTCAGCCATATTCCCAGTTAGAGTCTGTACAGACATTTTAGAAGGAGCAGTCATCTGAGTCTTCTGGGAAGTGGAGACACAGAAGCTGACTAGAAATCGTATTAAATTTTGAGCTTAGACTTGAGACAGACGTGTTGTTCGCTACGAACAGTTGGGGTGGCAAATGATCGACACATGCTTGTAGTATTTAAGATGTATTCCCCTTTTAGGTATGCAGGCACCATACATGAGCTTTGCTGTACCCAAACGTCGACACATGGATGTAAAATGTTAACTAAAATCACAAACAAGGACTGAAAAACTGCTTTAAAGCAACTGCAACATCTCAGGGCAGAGATCACAGACAGAAAGTAAATAATAAAGTCCTCAACTTTATGGAAAGGTAAAACCTTAAGAACACTCTGAGGAAACACATCTATTGCTACATAATAGAAAAAACCTAATCATAACCTCCACTCTCTTCATTAAAGGACAATGATAGTCCACAAGGCACTGAAAGCCACAACAGCCAATCCTCTGTAATGAAAATCTTGCTTGGACAAGTTGGTAGTTCAGAAGGGCCCCGCTCCAAGCAAGGAAGGAATGGGAACAGTCTGCTGTAGCAGACACTTTGGAGCTTCCTCCAACAGAGGCTTAAATTAAATACCATGCCTCGGTAAAACACAGACTTCATGAGAAATCCAACTCCAGCCTAACTGCCTTACTCATGAGAGCAAACTCCCTTTGTCCTCCTGCCCGGTGCACACAGAACAGGGGAGGAAGGGGGCAGCTGCTGCTCCCTCCTCCCACCTAAGCACACACTCCGCACCTGCACTCAGCCCAGCCAGAACCCAGCCCCTGGATAACCTCACTGTGCGCACTCTCACAGCCATGCAGAACAGCTCATGGCTCCTCAGCTCTCATTAGCCACGCGTGCATGTCACCTCCTTAAGGCATATGCGCTGGGATTATTCCACTAATGAAACAGGCTTCCCTGGCCCTGGAAAGGTTGTTTGGTAACACTTTGTAAATTCGTATTATCACTTCAAATATTATTTTTGGTTGCTGTCTATTCAGCCTTTTAGAGAACCATGTTTTCTTTTGGATCTGCTTTCCTGATCCATTCACCGACTTTTTGAAGAGAATGAGCTGTTTCTACCAGTGTCTAAATACATTATTTGCAATTCTGGAATTAAATGTCCTGGCAAAAGGTGTGTGATCCTCACACACAGAGAGGGTCCTGAGTACAGCAGGACACTGCAGGGACCCTCCTCCACCTGCCTGCAAATCAGTGTCTAGTCTCTAGGAACACGTGTGCCACCCGAGGTCCAGCAGCAGATGCCACAGGTGCCTAAACCACATGCTGTAGGAGGACACAGGCGTGCTCCAAGGCCTTGCCCATCATCCTGGTGCCTCCATTCCTGAGACTGCGTCTGCACCACAAGCCAGACGTAGCCTTTTGATCCGAGTGTGAATCGGTTCAGTCTGCACCTTATTTCTTATGTTCTTTCTTTGCAAACCTTTCTTTAGGGGGCAAATCTGCCATCTTGGGCGGGGGGGGAAATAAGGAAAAACCAGGGTTTGTGTCTGTACTAGCTTGTTTTGCTCCACCAGGTATTCCCAGTGAAGTCACTGAACATTCAGACTAGTTGCAGGGAAGCAAACAGGCACCTCACAATAACCACATGGTTATCGTCACTCGTTTTCCACAGGGAAAATTTGTATGGCAAAAGCCATGGTTCACCAAAATGCAAAGAGGTTCATCTGAAACTGCTTAGGTTTGGAAGACTTCTAAGGAACTGAAGAGAGACAAGCACGACGATAGCTCAATTTTTTGAGAACCACCGGTTTAGGGGCAGAAATGATATAGTCCTTGGCAGCCCTGGAGTGAAACGGATGGTGTGGTAGGTCTACCTGGAATATTCACCTCGCTCACGAGCCACAGCATCTTGAGGAGCTTCCAGTCTGCCAGCAGCTGCAGTGCCTTCTGGTCCATGAAATAAAATGTAACCAAATTCCAAACCTCAAGACACTTCACTGTGAAGCCAGCTCCAGTCATTAGAAACAGCAATGACATTAAAATCAGAAAACATAGGACGAATTAAATGAAATGTGGTTGAAAGGATTAAAATGTCAACCAAGCAAAATCAATATTGTGAATGGCTGAATTACTGCATTTCATAAAAATAATTTCTAACTGCCCCAAAAAATCAAATACCATCATGAAAACGATCTGCAAGTCTAGTCCGAAGCTTTCACAGTATTTGTTTTAAGGACCATAGGAAAACTGAATGTGTAGAAAGGAAGAACTCTCTGAAATGTCCCTGGCAAACATGCTGCTGCTTGTTTCAGCTCTGCAGTGGATTTCAATTAACTCCAGCAGATTTTGAATAGGCTGTGCGCACACAGAGAAAACTCACCCTGCACATACGAAACGCAGACACTCCAAAGAGCACGTCATCCATCATTCAAGCACAAGAATTCTCACGTGAACTTAAACCTGTAAGTCTGCGTGCCGGCTCTCTGAAAGTGTGACCCTCTGCATTGTTGCACTTTGGGGCATTAGCAATGGATCTCAAAATGTTTTGTAATCATCGTTCACCAAAGTTTAAAGGTTTTCACTATAAATTTGGCTTCGTGTGAAACATCCCAGGCTCTAGGATGTTACTTTGTTCAAAAATAAATCCCAATTTTACCCATTCCTAACAGGTCTGAATTTACTAAATGGGACTAGTAACATCAGCTTGGCAAGAGGCATCAGTTTTCCAAAGAGGAAGACTGAGCTAAGGGGACAACTCGGACATACGAGAGACAGGCATACGAGCTCTGGGCATCCTGCTTCCCATGGCACCATGCTGTAGCCAGGGCCCAGGAAGAGGGAGGCCCTTGGAGAGGTACAGCTCAGTGGAGCAAACTGAACGCCTGCTTGACCTTCCTACGTTTCCACATAGCAATGTACACTTTGCTGATACTGGCAGGGACACACCTGCACACTTTTCCACTGGAACACCTCACCCAGGAAAGCTCTGCCTGGATGACGCCCAGGCATGGACTCAAGGAAATAAAGCAGTGACTAGAACTTTCCATCAATTATTCCTCCTCACAAGCTTTCATGGCAGCTCACCAGCAAGATGCATTAATATGAACTTTATTTTCACACGGGATCATTCAGTAGGGTGCAGGAACGCTCACACGTGGAGCACCCCCACGAGTAGGGCCCACATACTAAGCCCACTTCTTCACAGTACTCCTGCGACAACATTAAATTAGCAAGTGGCTGGTACAAGGGCATTTCAGCTTAAACATCAGCAACCATCCTCCATTTCCTGGCAAGTTCCAGCCCACGGGACTGAGTGCATGGAGCTACAGGGCATCTGAGCACTACCGGCATCCTGTCCCGGTGGGCAGGGATGTTGCGGGGCACACAGCCACCCCAGCGACACCCCCAGAGAGAGGCCCTGGGCAAAGAAAACATCCAGTCTTGAGATCCCTCTTTTGTTACATTTAACTGCAGTTGAGTCCACAGTGCTGCCTCCCAGCAAGTGCCACAGAGAAATGATAGAAAGCTTAAGAAACACTGTTATTAATAAAATAATGACAGTTTCCCTTCAAATTATTTTTTTTTTTAATCCTTTCTTTCGCTTAGTTGTTAGGAAAGTCTCACAGGCCAGTGGTCTACCAACACTTTTCATCACACACACCATTACAGAGAGCCTCAGCACACACTCCCAGTGTAGGTCTATTTCACACATCCACTACGGAAGGTCTAGTATTTCCTTCCCGCAATCCCAGTGGATCTCACTGCGCACGCCCTGTGATGCATGGCCCCCACTGGAGACCACTGCCGCAGGTCAAGTGCAGCTCCAGGAGCGCTGCAGTGACCCTCTGCAGTTTTCTGTGTAAGAAGGTACCCTGTACCAGCTCCAGCATCCTGCCTCTCTTGCCCTCTGCACAATTCCTTTCATCATACACTATCTATAAACCCACGGATGAGAACAAAGCATACCTCTGGACCCCAAACTCCCTGGCTGTGACTGAAGCAATGTCTGTCATTAATAAAGTTCAGTAATAATTCTGCAGTGCATTCCCTCAGCCTAATAATTAAAATAGATTAATAGTGAAGACAAAATTAATTTTCCAGTCTCTCTCTCTCCTCCTTTTATCTCTCAACTGAATCCAAGCAAAACCCCAAAAGGAACAAAAGCACATTTATTTTTAACAGGGAAAAAGAAAAAGAAACAGCACTAAAACCAGAGTATGGTAAATGCAGTCGACGTGAGAACGTTGGATTTAACAGTATCGGTGACTGCTAGAGTTGTTAAACCCAAACTCCTGCAGATTTGGTATGGGGCACGGGGCTGGCTACGTGAGAAAGAGACTTCCTGTGGTTAAGCTATCATCAGAATTTCACTGGAAAACAAAAGGGAGGGCCAGAAGGTACTCAGCTTTCCAAAAACCCCCAAAACGTTCAGTGGTCATGTGCACAGATTTTTACTGTTGTAATAAAAAAACCCCTCTGCTTCTTGAAGTTAAAACAGCAAAAGAAAATGATAAAACATTTTTTTTTAACTGATATTTTTCTTACCTAATAATGACACACTGATTTTCTCTGTCGATAATCATGTTTCTGTACATGCTGTCTGCAAGAGCATAAATATGTGGTGGGTTTTCGTACTGCGCCTAGGAGGGGAAATCAAGAACCGTTTTTCAACAAAGCATTAAACAATGCAGAAAGCGTAATATAAGCTTTTATTTAAACTGGAAGAATTATTTTCCTGGAAAAACAATTCTGAATCCCACTTTACACTGAATTTTGCCCAGGAATTTTTTTTGTTCATTTAATAAAAACAAACCAAAGTCTCTGGGTTTTGTTTCTGATCTTTCTTCTCATCCATAATTTTCTTCTGAACTGTCTAAAACACCCTGTTCTAAAAGTGGTCTGTGCTTGAAATACAATACTTGTCCAAGAGAAACTCACATAATACAGGCCTATTCCACCAGTGGTCATATGCTAACAATAAACTACCTAAACCCCTGCGCAGGGCCTGCTGCTATCGGTTGCATTTTCATCCACTGCATCCACTCAAACCGAATGGTTTCCCCAACCTATGGACATGCCCAACTCCAGCACAGCGGGAAATTGAATTTTAAAGTCCCTGATGTCCTTGCGCTGTCACACTGTTCAGGCTGTGTTTTCAAAAGTGGCATTTCAATGTTTTAATTTTTCTTGTCCAGTCTGAGAGTTCTCAAGTCAGTGTCTCCAGATCCACTGATGGCCATTTCATATCGTGCACTGCACTTTAAGCACACAATAGTTTAAAAACTGCCCTTGCAGGAGGAGGGATGTGTCAAGCAGAGAAACCTGACATGGATCAGAGTTAATCAGTACAAGTATTTTCTTGAAATACTAACCCTATGTTCCAGGGAATTCAATCTGAAGACTCAATATATGTTAACGGGTATCAGCCAAGCTCTCCCAGGCTAGTGCAGTGCTACCGAAACCCAGAAACTAATGCTTCCAAGAGTTTAACCGCGTAGGATAATATTTACTTCCCCCTGAATACTGCGGTACATTTTAGACAGCTTTACTTACTGCTCCTTGGTACATTTCAATCTCCTTTTCCCCAAAATACGGCATTTGCTTGAAAGGATTCACAGAGATTAACACAGAGCCGATGTATGTCTGTATTCAAAAGAAGTTAAGGTAACTGCAGTTTCATTAAGTATTGTCTTACCACCAGTGACTGCCAAGTAACTTTTCCATCTACTAAATAATACAGCACAGCTTCAAATAATAGTGGAAAACCATGAAGCTGACAACAACAGTTAATAAGAATGAAATTAGCAGGCTTACAAGAATATAAACATAGCATTCAATGGGATACTTTCACATCATCAAAATATTTATTTTAGGACCAGCTAAGTATAGAAACATGTATCAGAGGCCCAAACACAACACACCTTGAATAAAAACACACAAAGGAAATGGTATATTCCAACTGGTTTACTCCTTTGTAACTGAGGAGGTCACATTGTCAGCAGAAAATCTTAGAAAAGACTGTTTTGACCTTTGCAGAATACAGCACAGTGACACATCCTGATCTCGGAGACAGCGCTGAGCAGGCACAGTCGGATGGAGACAGCCACTACTGCGCCAAACTGGACAGTTACTCAGCTGCATGTTCTAGTGGGGGAGCGAAGGGAATCAGGTATGTGGCGTTACGAGTGTAACTACTGATGGACCCTAGGAGCCTTACCCTGCAGGCTGCCCTAAGAGCACACACTCCGTTTCAAGCTATTATTTGTCTCAGAAAGCTTTTTTGCAATATTTTGAATGTTAACATTTCACCGCTCTGCATTCAGCTAACACGTACCTACATTTACAGAATATTTCCGAAACCTCTGGAATTAGAATTGCAGTACATGTATGGAGCAATGGTGCTACTTTACAGGCAGGGTGGGTCCACTGAGCTGGGAGTACCCATGGCAATCAGCCCACCGTGCTGTGCTGCAGGTTTCATTTAACACTCTGAAATTGTGCACAGGCAAACCTACTGTCTCTGCTGTCCGTACAAAAGTAGGAAAATTAACACATCCATCCCGCTGGATTATCCTATTATCTATTACTGTGGTGCCACAGCGCAAAACGTTACCTGGTTAGAGCAGAAGGGAACTCAGGGAACATCCTTTCTGCCCTGTGAATCTGCAATGCTTTCTTCATACATCTTTATATTTGATTCCAAGAAAAGTGACAACATCTGGGTCTCAAATATAATAAATTAAGCATTCATTGCGTCAGTACAAACATCCCAAGCAACAGTTTTCTGTTGGTAAACAATGCCAGCATTTTCTGGGATGATTCGGTAATCTCTATGCAGCGCAGCACAGAGAAATGTTCATTCATGGGTGGGCGTACAGACAACTGAAAGATTCAAGAGACCATCTTCATTGTAGAATGAAAAGCCTTCGCAGAACTGCAAAAGGAGTCTTTTCTCCCGACACAAAGGGATTATAATGCTTTAAAAGAAGCCTCTGATCCTTCATATGACCACGAGTCCCCTTGGCAAACATGCTTATTCCCGCTTCAATAAAAGACCATCTCTGTGTTAATCTCAATTCTTTTTGTAAGAAAAAAGCAGTAGGCCATTTTTCAGCACTGAAGACTCTGAGTGTACTGCATGGAAGATGCAGCATTCCACCGGGACACAAGCACTCCTGTTATCAACAGGAAGAGCGCTCCAGTTTGCCCCAGTACTACAGTTTGACAAACACTGTGCAGCTTCATCACGTTTCTGTCAGGCAAATGCAAAATGGTGTGGTATTTCATTGAAGGCAGGATTCGAACCAATGTGCAAACCCATTAAAAACGGCTGTGGTTTGGGATGGAAATGTCAGCACAACTGCAACATTCGTTTTCCTCTATCGGTCCTTGCTACACTGAGCTGCTACTTTGCTCATAACCACCTGCATATGTGGAAACAGCCAGGAGAGGCCTCCTTGCCTTCCTGCTGAAAAACTCCTCAAGGAAACGATCCCCCAGATACAACCAGGAAGAACTAAAACCTGACTACAGCAGAAGAAAGAGCATCACTTTCCAGTACATAATCGTATTGACAAGTGTTTACCAAACTGCAGTTTACTGCAGTTCATGTTACATGGTGAAAGCTAAAAATGCAATAGTGACTATTCTTACCTCAAGGAATCCCTTTCACATGAAATTAAAAGAAAAAAAAAAACAACCCAGTAAACCCTTGGTGCTGAAATCTGTTTTTCTTGTTAGGTTTTATGTTCAGGTACTTAAATCTTCCAGGTTTTCAGTAACAGTAAGTGTGAACAGTGCAGATTTACAGATGTTCCCATGTTCACTTGTCTCCACGAGCCCACAATTCACAGTATTAACAATTCCAGGGTAAGTTGGGAAAGGGTTTATGTCACAGAAGAAATGAGATTTTGAAGGCATTTGAGTTTGGGAGGTATTGAGGACAAGATGGTATCGAGACATATGCACACCTCAAACCTATTAAATCTTGCTCTTAGAAGCAGCATTACTGCAGCAGCTTCAGGGGTCACGCAGATATATAAATAAATGGAGCTACAGGCTTCAACAATGACAAGGACAATTCCAAATATCAAAGAGATTACCTTAAAATATTTTTTCAGATCTTAATTTCAACCATCATAATTAGCTCAGTTCACAAACCCTTCTGTGTAATCTCAGGTGAACACAAAGAGCTCAACTCCTTTGAGTTATCTGCTTAAGTACATACACACATGTAATTACTTTCACATCAGATCAGCGAGTCCACAGGGCCCCACTAAAAACAACACTATAAAGGATACAAAAATATAATCATCCATGTATCGTTTCTTTAGGTTCTCCACTATGGAATCCTCTGTGATCTTGGAAAGAAGGACCATATCATCCACTCCACTGTGCTTGACATTGTGGCTCTGCCAGTGGTATCTGTAGTGTCCTTTGCTGCCCTGCAGGAAAGCACAATAAACATCAAAAAGGTTATTACATTTCTCATCAAATAACTCAAAACAACCTATTCAGATTCCAACTTCAAAAATATTTTTCTGTCTTTGATTCCTATGCCTTGACCCAGGCATCATATGACAGCAGACATAAATGACGTCAACTGACTTGCCCTGAACTGTGAAACAATTGCACCGTCCTCAAAAATCAGAATGTAATTCCCTGGGGTCTGGTGCATGTCTACACAGAGAAGGGATGTCAGATGGCAGGCATTTCCAAATCTAGCAGGAAAAAAACGATTTTTCCAACTGAGATGCAGTTATTGGGATCTAAGGATGCAAAAATTACACCCCCGCAGCAGTGAGGAGAACGACCACCTGAACTATTAAACCGCGGACAGTGGATCTGCCATCACTTACAGCCGTTTAAGTCAAACCTGCAGACACTGTTACTCACAGGGAAGCTGCGAGCCCGATGCAGTAAGTGTTCAGCGCGTGCAGCAGCGACGCTACCCAGCTTCTTGGCTGCGTGTCTTAACAGTCCCTCCTGACCTGCTAGTCACCACGCTTAACTGACATCCAAATAGGCATTCTCGCCCCACACTCAGAGACTCCTACTTCAGGGCGCTGCTGAAAACTCGTGACATCTCAAGCTGTACCACTTGAAATCAAAATCTGTCTTTTTCCAGCTCATTTGAACAGTGGTTAGGGTCTGTGGATACACCCACAAACAAATTTAAATCCAGTCTAGACCAATGCTGTTAATTCAGCTGTAAATCTGCTCTCCGAGCCCCAAGCTGGTTTTGTAGCCTGGCAGATAACACTAGTGGAGCTCTGCCCCCTTACCTTTCGACTCTGTTTATGCAATGCTGAAAGCAGGGATGCTGGAATTAACACGTTCTACACTGAGAAGTCGTCATGTACACTGTCAAGGAAGATGTGGCCAACAAAATGGCAATTCTGCATATTCCCCTCATTTCTTAATACCACCATTTCAAACACTGTGATTTAACTGCACCGCTCTCCTGCGTTTTATGGGCTCAAGTCATTCATAGAACACAAGCGATTTACTGAGTCTTTTGTAGAATGAAATAATGCACAATGTCACCAATTAAATAAGAAAATCTAGGTACCCTGAACACTTTGTCTACACTCAAGTGTTTTGAAATGGGACACCAGCAATTTACAGAGGCACAGTTTCTGTCAGTACACGCTTCTGTCTGTGCATGCTTCCGCACCGGCGTGACCGGTGCAACTCTACCAACCCGAAAGCACGTCTGTCCAACTGCTTCCTCCTGGAAATAGTCAGGCACTTGTACCAACACCAGGCATAAGGAGGCACAGCTTCTGTCAGTACCTGCTTCCGCATTGGCAAGTGACCGGTGCAACTCTACCAACCCAAAGGCACGTCTGTCCAACTGCTTCCTCCTGGAAATAGTCAGGCACTTGTACCAACACCAGGCATAAGAGTGGGAACTACAAGTGGGAGTCAGGGGAGCACAAGGTTCTAGTTTTAAGTTGGGTTGGGTAAGAGTGTTCATTAAGCTAGTCTCAGGGTACATTTTTCCACAAACTTCACTGCATCTGTTTGGGGGGAAACCCAACACAACCCATTGAAGACAGAGATTTAACACATAATGTGTATTAGAGAATGGAGGCAGGCCGCTAGGGTAGCCTCATCTCGGCTGACATAAAAACCAAAGACCAACTGGATTTTTATCTCAAGTTGAATCAACCTCCACTAAAACCAGCCCCAAGTCACTGCTGCAGACTTGTAGGCTTTGGGCATGTTTTCTATTAAGCCATCGCTACCACTGACACAGCTCCGTCACTGCTAACAACACTGAATGAAAAGAATGCTTTAAAAAACTGTACAGCAGAGGTAAATACATCCCAAACCACCATCTCCGCAACTGTCTTGAACATCCACAATGTGAGCTTCAATAACATCATAATCTTAAACCAGCTTGGTTTGGGTGAACCTTAACTTTATATCTGCACAATGGAAGCGGTGATCTGCAAGCACTGAGAAAATCAAGGAACCAATTCATTTTTGGAATGGTTATAAAACATGTGACTGAAAAAATCAGTTGAAGGTCGGGTTATTGGAGAAAACAGAAGTCCAACAGAGAAGCATGATTTCCTTCAGTGTACTCATCAGCTACTTGTGATAGTACACTTGGAAAAAGGAAGTGGCAGGACGGACAATAAGGTACACTATCAAAATAAACAATTACTTTCTTCACAAAGCTACACAGAATGTGGCTTAGTACCAGATAACAGAGTAAGCTACAGAAAACATGTAAGAAACGAGAGTGAGGAAACAATCCAGCTTCCCATTGCAAGCTACAGCATCAGACCCAGTGAATTCAATGAGAAGAGGACAAAGCTCACAAAGCCACGGGATATGTGGAAAATGTGCACAGTCAGCAAACCAGCAGGCTTCATGAAATCAGGGACTACTGTTGATGATGATGAAGCCACAGGCAGTACCAGGCCAAAGGGGTCTTTCCCCAGAGCAATGCAAACCAGCAGGCAAGCAGGAGGGGCAGCGCCAGGGAGGCTCAGCTCGCCCACAGCAGCTCTCCCCAGTGCTTACACACCGCTTTACTGTGCGGCTGTGATCAAGCCCGAGTACTACAGTACCACATAGAGGCACATGGAAAGGGACGCAGACAGATCTAATAAAAAGGCAGCAGCCTAAACATTCAAGAAAGCAACAGCATGGACGACAGCTGAGAGGGGTAGCACTACGCTAGTAGTTCATATTAATACTGTAACCCATTTTACGTGGCAGTTTCTGTCAGTAGTTTGGCACCATTTTTTTCCCTTGAAAGCATGGCCTTACATGCAAATACACAGAGCAGCAGCAAATCACCAGATTCTTGTCAGACTTCCCCTTAGGATCTAGAAACTAGCCCAAGCTTTAGCAGTGCCTAACTCCATCTGTGGCTCAGTTCTGCTCTCACTCTCCCTTCTCCAGAGGATGGCCATGTGCAGTGGCTAGCACCTCCATGGTCTGGGCAACAAAACAGGGCATGCTGTTTCTACAGTACACCACCCACCCCCAAGTTCTTGCGCTTCCAAGCATGTGTGATGACTAGAGCCTAACCTGAATTTTTCAACTTCAGTCACTTCCAGCTGGTACTACAGTCATGTCCAGCTAACAGTTACCTGGTTTATTACATAGTTTTGAAATAATAATTTAAAAAATCTTCCTGTCATAAATCATCCGAAAAAACTCCACATCACAGCAGTTATAAAAGCAACTCTTTGTATTTCTCCAGGCTGCATTTCCTAAAGGTCAAGGATATATACCTAAAATATAGGCTGTAACCTGAGCTGTATCCAGAGAAGTGTGGCCAGCAGGTCGAGGGAGTGGATTCTGCCCCTGTACTCTGCTCTGGTGAGACCCCACCTGGAGTGCTGCATCCAGCTGTGGAGCCCTCAATATCAGAAGGCTATTGACCACTTGGAGCGAGTCCAGAGGAGGCCACGAAGATGATCAGAGGGCTAGAGCACCTCTGCTATGGGGACAGGCTGAGAGAGTTGGGCTTATTCAGCCTGGAGAAGAGAAGGCTCTGGGGAGACCTCATTGCAGCTTTCCAGTACCTGAAGGGGCTACAAGGAAGCTGCGGGGGACTTTTTACAAGGGTCTGTAGTGACAGGACAAGGGGTAATGGGTTTAAATTGAAAGTGGAGAGATTTAGATTAGATATCAGGAAGAAGTTCTTCCTGGAGAGGGTGGTGAGGCACTGGCACAGGTTGCCCAGAGAAGCTGCGGATGCCCCATCCCTGGAAGTGTCCAAGGCCAGGCTGGATGAGGCTTGGAGCAACCTGGTCTAGTGGAAGGTGTCCCTGCCCATGGCAGGGGGGTTGGAACTAGATGATCTTTAAGCTCCCTTGCAACCCAAACCATTCTGTGATTCTACAAAAATTACAGTGCTTTCCAATCACCACATCGCAAACACTAATGATTTGTTCTTATTGCATATTTCTTGAGAATTCAACCTTTATTTTAGGTAGAGCTTTCCACCATCCACATAAAAATGCAGCACTCTAATCTGAAGGCAAGTTCCACCTGAGCCAGTTACCTGGTGTCCACCTGAACCTGATCCTGTTTTGCAGGGAAGACTCAGGCTAATTCACTACGCTGCTGTCTACTGTTTCCCTTCACACAAGATGCTTTCCCCTCCAGCTGCTCCAGGGACAGGTCAGGGCTCCTGGGACTGACCAGGAACTTCAGAGCCAGCAGAACAAGGGCTGGTAGAGATGCCCCGCACCCCCATGCCAGCACTAGCCACAGCAAGGACTCAGTAGCTCAAACAGAGGTCCCCATGGCAGGGTCAGATCTGGGCACACAGAGAGACTTGCAGACCATCCCTGGGTCCAGCCGTGCAGTTTGGATGTCAGCAAATAGTGACTTGGCTTCTCCTAGGTTTTCTCTGTGAAAGATGTGCCTAACTGTACAATAAGCAAATAAAAGTCTTCGTGTCAGCATGAACAATGCCTAAGCAGCTGAAAAAGAGATGAGCCTGGCAGATTAGGAAAAATACACAAAAACCCCAACACACAGCAACAGCCTGCTGAAAGCCGCAGAAGAGCAGCAGCCAGGCTGCCAGGCCTGCTCCAGGCTCTCCCTGAGCTTCCAACGCAGCACCTGACGTCGCGCAGGGGATGGAGGCTGGGCTGGCAAAGCTGGAATTCAAGGCGTGTACTGCATTGCCGTCAGCTGTTATTATTCATTCGGTTGCTGTTTTAGGCTCAAAATCAGCTCTGCTTTGCGCTGACAAGAATAATATTTATGAGTCACAAGATGACCGTGTGAGCTGGGAGCCTACTGTTTCCGAGCCGCACTGCCGCGGGAGCGCGTGCAGCTACCACCTGCCTAGAGGCACTGTCCTCACCACCTCACCGGCTCCATTTATTAGCCTCAGCATCAAAACAATCCAGACTCTGAAGAAGCTCAACAATTAACCCTACTCTCATGTCGTACATCCCCCTTGACACCCACTCGTTACCAGATTAAGGCAATTGCTACATTCATACCGCAAGAGGGGACGTAAACATGTTCTACGTACTAAACAGTCTCCAAAATTTCTGTACTCCTTTTGGTAGGATATGGTTAAAGCACATTAGTGTTTGTTTGGAATTAATATAACATGTTGAGGAGACATTTGTTTACAAACTTTTGGGTTTGCTGCCCTCCACCTTGTGTTACAATAGCAGCTGCTGGTTT